TATTACAAAAAATGCTTGATGTAATGAATACATTGTTATCAATAAAGAATTTGCATCTAATGCCGTTTAACTTTAAACAAAAAAAAATAAAAATAAAAATAAAAACATATACAATTTTTTTCTTAAAAATTTTTTTTATAGTAATTTTTTATTAAAATTAAAGAAATATAATTTAATTATATTTCAATATTTAAAAGTTTTTCCCATTTTTTCTTTCTTTACTACAAGTAAGAATAGGCACCAAAATTATTTAGCATATAAAATTTTGCAGATCAATTATATTCCTTTTGATTATAGTAGAAAAAACAAAATAATAAGATATATTTTTTGATAAAAAAAGTGATTTAATGTTTTTTTTCTTCTCTCTTGAATTAGTTTTATTTCTTTTTAAGATTTAAGAAAGGTTTTATTTTAATTTAGTAACAAGTTAACTTTACTGTTGATTCTTTTAAAAATAGTTAAAAAAAAGTGTTTTAAAACTATACACTAGTTATAAGGTTATAATTTCTTGAATAATTGGCTAGAAAAAAAATTATCAAACAATATATCAATTTTTTTTAAAGATTAAAAGTCTTCAAATATAAAGTTTTAAGAAATACTTACTTGAAAATACTCTTAAATGTTTTTAATTAATAATTAAAATAATGGAAATTAAATAAATATTCAGTTGTAAGTAGTTAGATTAGATATTGTTTAAATAGAGTTTTGTTTTATTGGTATAAACTTTTTCTTTTTTTTTCCACATTATTTTTTTTAAAAAATAAAAAAATTTTACTTCTTAAAATTATAGGTTTATATTAAGGTAACAATTTAAATATAAGCTGGCTTTAATTTTTTAAAACAATAATTTTAATATCTAATCTTAAAAAGGGTTAACTTTTATTATTTTTTATAATCATATCTAGAGAATTAAATTTTAAAAATTTAAGATAATTAATATTATATAGTAATAGCTTAATAAATCTATTTTTTTGTAATGAAATAATTAATAAATAGTTAAATTATATGATAATATAATGGTTTTAATATTAAGAATTTAAGGATTATACAATATATAAATCTAAACTTATTAATTGATGTTTTGTAAAATAGAATTAGTTTAGTTTTTTTTTTTTTTTCCCTCAATCAGGTTGGTGTCATTTATTTATTAAATCAAAATGAACCATTACAAATATAAATTGTATGTATAAATTTCCCCAACCCAGCTTACCCGTCTGTAACCAAAGAGTATCTAAATGTGATTTGTGGGGATGATATATTGCTCGTCCATTAATTGGGATTAAGATCCCATTTGTTTAATAGAATCAACGCCTGCAGATTATCTCTACAGATAAATAGAATTAGTTTAGTTTAACTTTAGTATAATATTATATTGTATATTATATTATTGTTGTTTAAAAATTAAATTAATAAATATTAAGACTTGTAATCTAATTGGAGGCAAAAAAAATTATTTAATTGTTTAAAATAATTTTTATTTTTAATATAATAATAATTTAAAATATATAGGCAAAATTGGTAAAACATTTATTAATAAAATTTTTTTTGAATTATGGATTAATTTTTTAATAGTTTAGATTAAATTATATTGAAACTTTTAAACTATATTAAAAAAATATAGAAATAGGTTTATCTAAAAATATTTTAAAATTATAATAGTTTATAATAGAAAAATAGAATAAAATTTTAATAATATTTTAAATAATATTATAAATTTAATAAAAGATAAAATAAAATAATATTTAAAAAGAAGAATAAAAAAATTATTTATTTATTTTATAAAACCTCTAGATTTAAGTTTCATTTTAATATATTTTAATTAATTTTTATATAGTAGTTTTTAAATAATAAATAAAAATTTTTTTAAATTTTGTTACATATTGTACATCAGAATATTGACCTAATATTTATTGTGAAAATAATCATAATAAGTATATCAGAATACTAACTTAATATTTATTGTGAAAATAATTATAATTGTAAGTTAACTTGTATAATTTATAAATTTTTTGGCAATATATTATCTTTTGAAAAAGGTACACTTATGTATCAGATAATGTATTCATTTCTGCATTAATCTGCTCATTATGATCCATAATGATTCCTGATACTTCTAAGATTAAATTTTTGATAACATTTTGAATTTGACTATTAACATGACTCAGAATGACATATATTCTATAGAAACTTGCCTAATTTTATTTATTCCAACTTTATCTTTTTCAAATAACATGAATTTTTTTTCTCTTAGAGTTTTCATATACAAGTTTCCTGATGTAATGCTAGGTATATGTTTAAAATTTTCTTATATAATTGTGTTCTAGCAGTTTTATCCATAACTCCTGTCTCGCGGTAAATTTCAATAACTTTATTTTCAAAACTATTAGAATAATAGTACCAAGATAAGATTCCTTCATGTCTGGCTCGTATTGCATTTTGAAATAAACAGATCAAGCTTTGTGTTGTAATTTGGATGTTTGATGCCCTGTAATCTCAGAGGAATCTGGTAAGACAATATCTCTATCACTTCCTAATTGTTTTGTTAATTATCGCTCTATACTACACTGACTTTGGTGAGCTCAATTTCATCAAACTCCTCAGACATATGTTATTATTTGGACACATGCTCCTTGGTCTTTCCTGTGATAAATATTCTTTGGTTTCTATATTAGGATTCGGAAAGCTTTTTTGCCGATCGTCACATTTTGTGACAGAAATTTCCTGGCATTTTTCTTTTCCGCCTACATAATTTTGCTCGGGAGAGATAGAACTAAACTCTAGAATTGGTCTTCAGCTGATTCACATTGAAGCTTCTTCTCCCTATTGCGTTGCTTTATCGCGCCACTAACTCTTTTAATATTTTTCAAATCCAGAAATTCACCGATCTCTTTATTTTCTGATGATTTAGGCTCGGATGCGTATGTATGAATATTGGAAGAAATATCAGATGATGCTTCGTGGAGAATAGAATCTTTTAATACATGTACACTATCACTTTGTCTACTTCTGTTCCAATTTCATGACTCTATCTCTGAGCTCTGCATTTTCAGCAATGAGATTATTGGTATCTGTTTTATTTTTCTTTCCTAGCTCCTCGAATCTGATCTTGAGCTCATCATTTGCTTCTATAGCTTGTTTCAATTTTGTATTCTCGGCTTTGATCTCGGCATTCTTCTTTCTAGGCTCAGCAATCGTTGAGAATTTAATTCTTGCAACGAATTGATTTTGGATTGAGTGTCTGACATTGTTTATATAAGATGAGGATATGTTCAAAAGTTTTTTGTCATGTAGACATAAATTCCTTGTTATAGTCGGTCACTTTTCCCAGAGGCGGAGCCACAATAGAAAAATTCTCAAAATTATGGATATCGATGTCCAATGCAAGAATCTGAGATAAAGAGCGTTATAAGCATTGTGCGATTCTCACTTGATATATCAGGTTGGTCGAAAAAACGCGTGAGTATGATAGACAAATAATCCAGTCAATCTGAGCAACATATGAATAATCGAAAATTTCATTTATAGTATTAGTTTTTTCGATTGTATTCAGTATTAGGACATAGAGTCCTAGTAAATATGAAAGCATTTGCATGGGAAGTATGAGACAAGAACAAATGGCAGTTAAAAAGGATATGTATCGAAATAAAACTTGTCTAGATTCCGATATAAGACAGAAAAATAGGATGACACTTTAGGGATTTAAAATGCTAAACCGAACATCAAACAGATCGATGGAAATAGGGTTAGGTAGGGGAGGTGAGGGAAGCACGAAATTATTTGGCATTCTGTAGTAAATGCAGTCAAGAGGGATGTTTATTATACATTACCCCGGTCCAATGATAAGTGGATTGTGTTGACGGTCAATCGTTCCGAATTCATACTGAATAGAGGAAATATTAAATTCATTTAATCCTGTTCTAAAAAAGTGCATAATACATACCATTACGGGGGCGAATGCACCACTTGCTGTCCGGTTATCCATACAATAATGCCAAGCCTATTAAAGAACAAGCATCGTTTAAATGGTGTCAAGAGAACTACGTAGAAATTAAACCATCTCATAACTTGCCGTCATCTCCGCTGGAGGATTATCATCCGCTGTATAATTTAGCTTAATAGCGATTGCATCGTGAGCTCTCTTGGGTGCGAGTCAATAATCTTCCACTTTCCTTTTGAGATCCGATTCTTCTTGGGCATAGGCGACTTCTACTACGAGATTGGGCCAGGGTTTATTCTAAGAATATATGTTGTCACCAATATTAGAAGTTCAATACAACCACAACACCAAATAAACAAAATTGAAAACACATCATACTACTCCATCATATCCATCGCCATGTGCTGGACGTTTTCCAAAAGGCCGAATAGATGCATCTGGCTCTTTTCCTCCTCCAGTTGTTTTTGTTCCTTTATGGTACATAATTAGAATACAGTAACGTAAAGAAAAGAAATAAGACACTCACTCGACGCTCCTTCGAATTTAACATCAAAAGGAGTGCGCCGTACACTAGTAAACACTTCGATCAAGCTCCTCACAATTTCTAAGACAGTACTCTCGTGAAATGATGACGGAAATTCGGCAACGCGAACGGTTTGATTTTCCCATTCCCAAAAACCCTTCACATTATGTTTATCTGTTTGAAAGATAAAATCTTCTAACTCCACACCAGTCTTGAGGATGTATGGTAAACTTGGCAATAAATAACAACTGATATCAGTCACTGGCTTATAAAATATCAAGTTGTCGAAGCAAAAGGAAACTTACGTCGCCTCATTCCACCTAGCTTTGGGGTGAAAGCTACCAATATTCCACCAAAGCTGGCGGTACCAATTGACATCCCTCACCGGACCACTAGGAGAAGTAGAAACCTCCGTTGCGCTGGATATGGCTATTTTTTGACAATAAGTAATATACACCGGCTCTCAAAAAGAACGCAGTTAATCAATGATCACTTAAAAAATATAACAAGAACCTATTCAAACTTTGTATAAACTAAATGCTCTCAAGATAACTATCTATAGAGAATATATCAAAGGTTATTATCTTATTAGAAGAAGATTATAGTTATTGCCAAAATTGGTAACAATATTTATTATTTTATCATATTTAACCTTAAAAAAATATTTTGAAATAAACAAATTAGAAAATAAATCTATTTATAGTCATTCATCTAAACTTATTCTATGTGAGAAACTTATTATTATTCAAAAATTTTTAAAGAAGAATGCAAAACAGCCATTAATATATATAGATTCTTAATAAAATATAAAAAAATAAATGTTGATATTAATATAATTTGAAATTTTTTTAAATATAATCCAATTAGAATTTGTAAATATATGTTGTCATATATCATTTCTACCTCAGGAGAAAAATAAAGACAGAGAACTAGTAGCAGAGAGGCATTTTAGATGGACAGGGCCAAGGTGATATGCTAAAGTTCCTAGAGGCATACAAATTAGTACAATTCTGAGATATATAAGGTCAGGCAAAGAGGCAATAGTGATTTGATTTGTAAAGGTCAAGATATTTATTCAATAAAATATAAGTTCAAGCCTGCTATACATGTGATATAAATTATTTGCTGTTGACTCAATTTCCAAAATCCTTAAAAATAATTGTGTTATGACTTAATTATTTATATGTTTTAATAGTAACTCAATTAATTGTATCAAATAATTGTATTAATTGCATTAAGGATCTATGAATTTCAGCAACATGTATAAAGTTTGCCAATTCTTAAACAAAATTGAAGCCTTTATATATATGTTTAAGTTATATTATTTTTGTACATGATAATTATGAGTTATAGAAAATAATAAAAATATAAAAGAAGTATTATATTCATTAGAACAGTTATCTATATGTGTTAGCATAGAAACAAATGTTCTGATGAAGATACAAGAATAAAGATAAATAAGTAAAATAGAAAATATTCTAAAGCAACAATAGCACAAAAAGCATAGTACTAAACAATAACAAAAGTAGTAATACAAGAATTATTCTAAAATGAACAATATTTCAAAGATAAATGTTAGTGAAAATTGAACAAGAGGTGATGATGATCTTGGGTAAAAATCAAATACAACAATGTATATAATTATATTACATAAGATTAAAATGTAATTATTTGATTTAATAGAATTAAATTTCAAATTTTTTGAAGCTAAAAACATAAATATTATTGAAAAAATCTATAGAATTTTTAAAAACTAAATATATAATTTTTATAATTAAATTTAATAAAAATAATATTTATATATAAAAATATTTTATTTATTATATTATAGAATATTTATCAAAAAAATTGAAAAAAAATTAATGCTAAACTTTATAAATAAATTAATATATTCATTAAAATATTATAATTTTTTTTTAATTGTTAAGGTAAGACAATACTCTAATTTTTATTAATATAATTAGGTTATTACAAATATTACATATTTAAATTTTAAGCTATACTAATTTTTATATTAATTAGAATCTATCTATAGGCCTAAACCATCTGGATATAGTCTACTGGCCTACTTGCTTACCCAAGTATTACCTTTTGCTTTCTTGTTCTATCTTCTTGAGTTATTCAAAAACAATCAAAAACTTATTACTTTTCTAGGCTACCTTTTTGAAATAAGTAACAGTCAAGGCAATATATTATTGGATTGGATTAAAACTTATTATAAGGAGGAAATTTTTCATACCTATAAGAAAACAATTATCAATTCTTTGTTTTTTATATTGAAACTGGCAATCTTATACTTTTTTGTTACTTCTGACAATTATCATATTACCAATTGAATGATCGTTACATCACAATATTCTTTTTTTGATAATTACAATCTTATTGCCTATGTGATCTACATGTAAATCAGCTTATATAAAAAATGACACTTGACAAGTTATAATATCAGATACTATATTTATTCTATTTAACTACCTTTATCTGGAGTTGAACTGATATCTTATAATCTGGCTTATAGAGTACTAACTATTGTACTATAGATCCACAGGTTATTAAAATATTATAATTTAACTTTCAAAAATATTATATTTCAATATACAGTCAAACCTCTTTATAACGATATTTTTTATAACGATTTCTGATTATAACGATATAATTTTGTTTATCCATTTATTATAATATATAGTAAAAAGTCAATTTTTATACTGATAAACTGGTTATAACAATACAAATGATTTGATCCAGGTATATCGGTATAAAAAGGTTTGACTGTATTGTAATAGAATAGATAACTTAGTTTTATTTTTACTTATTTTTATCGAATTATTATTAGTTTATTTTTAGCAGTAGGATTTA